CAAACCCTAATTTTCACAAACCCTCAAAATCTTTGAATATATTTTGAATAAACATCTAGCATATACACATCATCTGAAACTTTAGCCACCACAAATTCTTCTTGATTCTTGCTTGATCATCTATTTATAGCCAAAAAAGCATTAACAGATATTCTACTTATATATACAATATCTATAGAGAGAGAGTATATACATGGCTTCCTCATCTGAACTAAGCTTGGATTGCAAGCCACAAAGCTACTCTATGCTTTTGAAATCCTTTGGAGATAACTTTCAGAGCGACCAAACCACTCAAAAGCTTGAAGATCTTCTTTCTCGTCTCGAACAAGAACGTCTCAAGATCGATGCCTTCAAGCGGGAGCTTCCCCTTTGCATGCAGCTCCTTAACAATGGTACATATATCTACTTTCAAATATTTACATCTACATATTTATAGTTTTGTACAATATGAATTAAAAACATTTCCTTTATCACCAATAAATGTCTTAAAACAAGAACAAAAAACCTAGTTAAAACATACCGTATAGAAGAGTTTTTGAATTTCTTTTTACTTTTGTAAAAGATCTTTATTCATTTGTTTAAGATTTTAATTCATAAAAATCAGAGCTTGCTTTTGATTTTCTTTGAATCACAAAACTTTTGTTTCCTCCCATCACTGAAATCAACAAATATAACGAAAGTGATTTTAAAGGTTTCATGTTATATACATCTTTCACTTTCATATATTAAATTACTTTATAATCTTTACTTTGTGTTTTTTTTTCAGCTGTGGAAGTTTACAAACAACAACTCGAAGCATATAGAGCAAATAGTAAAAATAACAATAACCAAAGTGTTGCCACAAGACCGGTTCTTGAAGAGTTCATACCCTTAAGGAACCAGCCCGAAAAGGCCAATAACAAAGGGAGTAATTGGATGACGACTGCTCAGCTTTGGAGCCAGCCCGAAACAAAACCGAAAAACATTGATTCAACAACTGATCAGTCTCTTCCCAAAGATGAGGTTGCTAGTAGTCCAAAACTCGGACATTTTGATGCAAAACAAAGAAATGGAGGCGGCGCTTTTCTTCCTTTCTCTAAGGAACAAGCTTTGCCTGAATTAGCTCTATCTACGGAGGTCAAACGGGTCTCTCTAACCAATGAACATACTAATGACCCCGCCGGTAATGATGAGAGCATGATC